TTCATAGTCGATGTTTTTATATTCAAGACTATCCTTAAGATGTATCATGATCCAGTAATTAAAAATGGATTAAAATAGATTGAAATTGTATGGGTATTTTAAGTCCATTGAATTCAATTGAATAAAAAAAAACTTTTTTTTTTATTTATTTGGATTCAATTGTATTAAAAAGTGCATTTCCTACTAATTCTTAATTTTTTGTCTAGTTCTAAGAATTACAAAAAAAATGAAGAGTAAGTTTAACCAAGATTAACCTATATTGGAAATAGGCATTAGAATTTGCTAACTTGTAATTTCAAGATACACAGTTATATAATCGACCCTCAACCAGCGAAAGGTGTAAAAAGGATATTAATTGTGTATTTTTTGAAATGAGATGAAAATTATAAAAATGAAGTAAATTAATTTACTAAGTATTTTGATTAATGAAATTATAAACAAATCCGCTTATTATAGTAAATTCGCTTATTTTTGTAGTTTTCACTTTATTTTAAAATACACAATCAATCTCAAGAAAGAGTTTGAACTAGGAAATGAATATGTCCATGAAAATTCGCCTAATCTAGAACGACAAAGGGGGAAGATAAGGAAGAACAAAAATGTCCTAATCAAGCAATAAATTCCCATCCGATTATTTCATTAAAGACTTGCTCATTTCGCAAACACAATTAAATTATGAGACTGCCACTGCAATAGATACCACGGGTATCACTTGATAATTATATATCACTTGATAGTTATAATATCGATAAACGATGAATTAATCGTAATTTAATTGCAGTCATTCTCTTCTCCATTTTTTATAATATCATACATGACTATTTCAACCAATGTAGATTAATTTTAATCTTGATTTAACTTGATTTGACTTTTTTTTATTTCTCTTTAGTTCTAAAAATTAGAAAAGTATGAAGAAAGTAAATTCAATCGGGGATTAATCTATATTAATAAAAATGGACCGAGGTTAATCTATATAGTCGTGAGAGCGACTGCGAGAAACTAAACTCCGATAACTCACTATCGATAATCAATAATTAACTTGTCAAATAATATCCATAAATATTTTGATCGTTAACGACCAAAGTTGGATCTTAATTTCTTTGTATATAATTTTATATTCAATACAAAAAGAAGAATTCTATATTATATAATTTGAATAATCACCGGTTGTTTTGTATTTTTTTACAACAAATGGGGACGGAAAAATAATACAGTATATAACTTATATGCATTTTTTTCATAGAATTTAATAGTGTTATTATTTTGATTCAAATCAAATTCTTGTTAATTGTTTGAATGATAATTGTTTAAATAAATTAAATGTGATAATTTTGATTTCAGAATTCATAATGAGCAACCTCATAAAAACCATTACATGCAAATGATTATTCAATTAATTACATAAGCAGTCTTCAAAGGATTACATTTATCTCATTTAAGTTTTCTTCTTTTCAATGTTTTCCAATTCTAGAATTGGAAAGAGATGAAAGATAAATATTCATACAGCATAAAATATTGGGAAACGTTTTAAGAAAAATATTTTTTTTAATATCACAAGTATTAATATCATAAGTATTATTAAAAAGATTTTAGTAATATTTTAAAATGTTTTAGAGAGATTTGGAAACATTTTAAAATTATTTTAAAACATTTTGTGATAATATTTTCAAAAACATTTTAAAAACGTGTTAGAAACATTTTGAAAAATTATATTTTTTATCATTTAGAAAATGATAAAATATTATCAATATATTTTCAAAATATTAAAATAATTTCAAAAATTTTAATCAAATTTTTTTAAATTGCTTGATTTCTTACGGCATGAAGCTAATTACTACGAATGCATTCTGTTTCCATAGGAGCGATAAAGTGCTCCAAAATTTTTGTCAAGTATTGAAAATCTGTAATTTACTTAAGATAGTCACTTCAGCTATATATTGGATCGTGACATCATAAGCAAAAAATGACACGTTGATTTTTCTTGCATATCATTTGTAAATAAAAAAAATTTGGATTAAATCAAATGACAAGGTGGCTTTAAAACATTTGTAAAAATGCGAAAATTCTCTTTATCTCTCCTGATAATCAATAAAGAATCGAAAAAGGATTGTGAAATGGAAATAAGCTACGCATTGAGTAAAACCTAGTAACGCACGTTTCATACCTTTTACGACTATTTATTGACTGTCAATATCTTCGACTATTTTTACAAGTTCTAAAGCGATCTCATCATTTCATTTTATCCAAATTGTCTTTATTTACAAATGGCATACAAGAAAAATCAACGTGTCGCTTATGACACATTTCTCGCTTATGACGTCACGATTCAATACGATTGGAGTGAGTACTCAGGAATCTTAAATATTTAATTTTTTTTATATTTTTGAAATAAAATTGTTTCTTAATTTTAAAAACAGATTTTGTATTTTGTTAAAAAAAATTTAGTTTATTTTCTATATATATTAATAGAAGTTTGTACATATATATTATGTATATAATAAATAAAAATAAGTGCAAATTTTGTATTTTTTTATTTTAGAATACTATTTTAATAATAAAACTAAATAAATAACATTTCTAAAAGATTTCACAAATATTATTGAATATATTTGAATGAAATTTTTTTAAAATATTTTTGAAAATATATTTTTAATATGATCTAACATAGAAATATTTTTAAAATATTTTAAAAATATTTTTGAATTATTTTAAAATACCTTAACCTTTGTAAAAAATATTTTTTAAATATTTTGAAAATATTTTGTGCTGTATGGGTAATTGAACTTTGATTAAGAGTTAATTGTTTCAATGTAGACTTTAATCTCGATTAAATTTATTCTGTATCCTTTTCTTAGAAAAAGATAAAAAGTAAGTTAAACTTAAGAAGTTAAATCTATATTGGTAGAAATAGACGTTCTCTCACGCGCGCGAGATCATTATCTTGCAATACATCATCGCGCTATCTTTTCTATCTTAATTGTATTTAGAGTTATAAGTATATCCGTAAGTTACAAAGGTCAGGGAAACTTGATTTTTGGGATCGGATTTCGGACTTTTGCGATCAATATAAAAACAATCAAATACGTTCAAACTCAGTAAACAAAAATGGATTGAAATAGATTGGATTTCATATAAAAAAATTTGTATACGTGTAAAAATTTAAATAAATTAAAATAATAATTATTGGGTGTCCGGAAAGTTCGTGCCGCAAAAGATTTAAATTTAATAAATGAAATTAAAAATTTAAATCTTCTGCGTTTCAATTTTCCTTCCAAATCGGCACGAACTTTCCGGAGAACTCAACTGAACTTCAATAGTTAATATTTTAAAACTTTTATACATAAAATAAGCTAGCTTATTTATAATGAAGGAAACATATTAATATGAAATGTATATAAAAGTGATTAATTGCCCAGCAAACGAGAATGGAAATTGAAATTTTTTTCTATTCGAATGCATATTTTAATAGCGAATATTTTTTTTGGATTTAATTGGATTCAATTGGATTCAATTAGATTCAATTGGATGCAATTAGATCGAAAAATTTTCTATTCAAAAGATCGATTCAAAAGATTTAGATATTCACAATTGTGTTTGTGTGCACAGAAAAAGCTAATATTATTTTTAGATTAAAAAGTATAGAGATATGCTTCATGCAATTCCTATAAATGAATAAAAATGCATTCAGAATGAAAAGCATTCATTTTAACATTCGTAAATCAATATTTCTGAAAATCTGAATCCATTTCAATTCATTTCAATTCATTCTCGTTTGCTGGGTAATTAATTAAAAATAAATAATTTATATTTGTAACATTTATTGTACATATTTATAGTTCTTTTTATATATAGTTTCTTTTTATATATAGTTCTTTTTATGTTTCTTTTAACTATTAAATGAAGTAGAATTCATGATATATTTTTATGGCATAATTTTTTTTTTAATTCAGTTGAATTAAAACAAAAAATTTCTTATTTATAATTCTAAATAAAGTAACTTTTATGGCGCATTTTAAATGAAACGCATTTTAAAATGGATTTTTTATTTACAATTTTGAATTCATAGTCCATTTTAAAAGAAAAACTTTTTTATTCAATTGAATGAAAAAACTGCATTTCCTATTCAGAATTTCGAATTAAGTATTCATAATGCACAGAAATGGCCGATATTATTTTTAGATTTAACTGAATTGAAAAACTGTATTTCCTATTCACAATTTTGAATTGAGCAATATTCACGATACACATATAAAATATATAAAATAGCATATATAAAATATTATAATATTATTTTAATATTGAAAAGCATAGAAATATGCTCCATTACTATTCCTATAAATGAATAAAAATGCATTGAAGATTGAAAAGGAATAGACATTTGTTTCATACAATTCCTATAAATGAATAAAAATATATTCAGAATTAAAAAGGATTCATTTTAACATCATTTTAACAATATTTCTGAAAATCTGAATACATTTTAATCCATTTCAATTTAATCCATTCTCATTTGCTGAGAAGAGAAAAAATAAATTGAAAACTCATCAATTATAATGGAGCAATTATTCATTTTATTTATTGTTTTATTTATTTCATATCATTATACTTTTTTCACATAACAATCCCTTCCTCTTTCCTCGAGGTTTAAGGTGCTAGAATAAACAATTTATAAATAAACTGTCGGAAGCAAAAGTCAAATATATAAAAAGAATTTAAATATGTTCTGGGAAGAACAATTGGTGAGGGAACAATGCCTTTTTTATCACAAAAAATGAATCATATATTTTGTTAAAATCGCGTCACTCGAGAGCATCGTATTATCATCGATTTCCCGTGGTGGCAAAACAGGCAACGGCGGTATAACTCCCTTTATATCGAGCGTTCATGAAATCACGGATCATTCTTTCTTTCGCGCGGCTATTAAACGACTCCGCGACGTGATAGCCGCGCTGTTGCGTCGCGCGCGCACGAATCGAACGAGTCGTCTGTCCGCTGTCGCGTCGCCGTGAACTGCCGTGGACTGCCGTGGAGTCGGTGGAGATTGGAGTCGCGTGTCGCGTTGTCACTGTGATCAGCGGATATCAATCTGTATACTGCTGTGTACCAATCCATCACATCACGATCGACGGCCCCGTCGAGCGTGTTGACGCTGTGCACGGATACTGCCGACGCATGATTCTTTTGGATGAGAATAACAGTCGCGGCGCGGTGACACGCACGTCGAACGCGCGAAAATGTCCCGATAAGATAGCCACGACGATTCCAGGATTTCCAGGGCGCGCCGCGATCCTTCCTCAGGTGAGTAATCGTGCAAAAAGCTTTTTGGTCATTTTCCTACGGATGAAGAAATGTTGAAGTGTCTAGCTTCTAGGTTATCTGACACCATCTGACAGAAGACTCTCTAGTTCTAATTACTTCGATTCTTTGTCCTTTTATATAACCATTCATTATCTTCTTTATTTTCTTGAGAAACTTCTAAATATTTAAGAATGTTAACTAATCTTTTTCTTTAATGATCGCGTGTTCGCGCGAAAATTAAGTCTACATCCTCATGATTCTCGATTGGATCATCTGTTCGGCTTTGCGACATGGCGTTTCTTTTTATTTGCTTGACGACTTTTTATTATTGGTGTTATCGAGAAATCGCGCTACGATGTCGATACGATTTGTAATAAAAAAGAAATCACTGTGTTACAAGGTCACTCATTTGCTGGATAAATCACTTCCCGTTTCTAACGGTACAGGTGTCGACTCGTCTGTTATGCAGGATAGATGCGAATCGACGACACAACCATGTCCTTAAGAAACGTCATCGAGTGGACGTCCTCCGACGTGAAAGCGTGGCTCATAGAAAATGGTCACGAGGAATACGCGGATTTGTTTTACTTCCATGAAATCGACGGGAAAGTACTTTTGACGCTGAAAGAAGAAGACTTGAAATCTAGTATTTTAAACATAAAGAAGATTGGTGTTATAAAAAAATTGTATCTAGCCATAAAGCAACTGCAAAGAGACAATGTCGCTGTTCTATTCGACCTGGGATATGTGGATCTGTTTCCTTCGACAAATTTTTATACTCATCATCAGAATAAGCACGAGGTAAAAACATGATTCTCTTAAAGGGAAATATTTAATATTCATTTTAATTCAAGAAGGTAATACTGTTATGTTTAATATAATTTTACTTTAGATGCCCAGTACTGGTACGAATAACGAAACATCTATCGAGAACGAATTCTATTCAGCCTCGGTATCAGAGGATGGACACGCTTCTCATTTGCCACCCGAAATCTGGAAGACACTCATCAGTTTGGGATATTTATTTATTGTCACATGGATTACTGCCTTTGTAATGGTTATCGTTCATGACAGAGTGCCTGATATGAAGAAGTATCCTCCATTGCCAGACATATTTTTAGACAATGTACCTCATATTCCTTGGGCGTTTGATATGTGCGAAGTTACCGGTACCCTACTTTTCGCGATATGGCTTGTTGTGCTTATATTTCACAAGTATAGGTAAGAAATGTGATCCATTTAAATAAATGTAGCAAATAATGTGATTTGTTAGTGCGAATAATCTATTAAATATGGACACAGATTTATTTTGTTACGGAGATTTTTTGCACTGTCGGGTACAGTCTTCCTGCTGAGATGCGTGACGATGCTCATTACTTCATTGTCAGTGCCAGGAGCACATCTACAATGCCAACCACGGAAAGTCCCAGATGATGATTGGTCAAAGTGAGATACATATATTATAAAATCACATTCTCTTTCTCTAAATACAAATAATGCATATTTATATCTCATTTTAGTTCCGCTTATGTAGAACTGTACAATAAAATAGCAATGGCTTATGTTATTTGGCGAGGTGCTGGCATGTCCATTCAAGGTGTCAGAACTTGCGGGGATTACATGTTTAGCGGACATACAGTAGCGTTAACAATGCTTAACTTTTTCATTACAGAGTGTAAGTAATTAGTATACATTATTTCATAATTGAAGATTTTAATATTTATGAAATGCTCTTTTTTTTATTGCAGATACTCCAAGACATTTATATTTTCTGCATACTTTTACATGGATGCTTAACATGTTTGGTATTTTTTTCATCTTGGCGGCACATGAACATTATTCCATCGACGTTTTCGTCGCATTTTATATAACTTCGCGATTATTCCTTTACTATCACACATTGGCGAATAATCAAGCATTGATGCAGCGTGATTCGATCAGAACCAGAATCTGGTTTCCGTTATTTAGCTTTTTTGAGGCGTCTGTTGATGGTATTGTTCCTAATGAGTATGAATCGCCGTCCTTGATAGTTTGCAATTTAGCAGGCACGGGAAAGAACATCTGGCATTGTGTACGATCTCGGATTTCTCTCCGAAAAATGCAGCGCAGCATAAACGGCAATTTAAGTAGCACAAAAAAGGAATACTAGGAATACTGTCAATTGGTATATATTTTACTTTTTTTAATTGTTATATTTAATTGTTATATTTGATTGCTAATAATTAATATGTTTAAGATAAATATGCCACATAGGGAACACTTCATTAATTTTTTTAATTCCAGTCATACAATACATAAAAATATACATACGTAAAAAAAAAGAGACAAAACAATAATATTTCTTTAGAATGGATCTTTATGTCTAAGAACACATAAAATGTATAAGTTTCGAAAAAAGAAAGTGATCTTATATTGTATATTTATCTTTTCAGAGCGTTAACTGTTTATTTGACAAATTTGTTTATATGTTGGAATAATATTGAAAAAAAAGATTATTAGAAGATTAATTCTAAATATATTTATTTTTGTGATAGAGGATTGTTGATACCGAAAGAGATTGAAGTAATTTATGATACGATTAATTAATATTACGTAATAGTTAATTTTTATTATCACACAAATAATGTAATTTATTAAGAAATTTCCAAAGACAAAGCGTAGCATATAGTACTTTACTAATTCAACATGTATTTTCCAAGCATGTTGTATCGTCTAAGACTTTCTTATTTTTTTAAGTGTATGTATATGTACATTATATATATCATACACCCCACACACACACACACACACACACACACAAATGTATAATGTGTGTGTTTGTGTATGTGTGCGCGCCCACATAATTTGCTCATAAGTACTTTTGTTTTTTTTTTTGTGATACAAGAAGAAAGTTAAGTTAAAGTTTATATTGTGATGGCCTGCAGGGATGTTAGATTTTATCAGGAATGTTGAATAATTTTTTATACCTTTCATAATGATATTTTAGAATTTCTAGATTAGACATCTTTGAAAACGCTTATTTGTTTGCTAATAATGAAACGCAATATTTTAAGAGTAAATGTATATGTTATATATTATTATGCATTCCTGATATTTGATAAAATTAATAATTTAAGTCTCCTGTTTACTTATTGTAATCATATTAAAGTCGTGTGATTTTTGCATTGTACATATAAATAAATAAAATATTGCATATATTGCTACATACGTTTGACATAGCTATACATTGATAAAATATATTGACTGTCTTTTCGATTTAGATAGAAATAAATAGAAATAAATATCTTGGTTGATTATCATAAAATACGTTTTTGCTAGAAATGTAAAACATATAGATACGTATGCAAAAAGAGGAATGATTTTTTACTACCGAAGAAAATTTATGATTTTAATACAGTTGCAGTAAGAAAGCAGGAGTCATATTTACAGATGTGGTATTATCAAACAGAGGCTGCTGTTATCGTAATTTTTAATGTAAATTCGTGCGTAATATCTGTATGATATGATTGTATGAATAGCTTCTATATGTCACATAGAAGCTATTGCCAATAGTATAATAGCTTTTTAATATTACATCCATATTTTTTACTTATATGATAAATAACTTAATCTTGTTGGCATTAACGAGTACCGATTATTGATAACTCGTTGATGGTGCCTGAGATTGTTGGTGTTTATTACTTTATATACTTCCAAAAACTATGCAATGTGGTAAACTTTCTCTCTTATGCTAATATCGACCAATATACCGACCAGTTTACAAGATAGTCGGATTTACAGACGATTGAGAAAAATAGCACGAGAATAAAAGACATCAATATTTCAATAAGACTTTTATTGTACTTTTATTAATTATAATTATTATACGCTTGCAGGTATCATTTCCCTTTATCTTTCTCAAACAAAATTTTCAAGAAAAAATGCACTATATTCGAACATTCGTGTTCTTTTTAACTTGCGCACGTACACGTAATTACAAAAAAAATTATTAAAATTTCCAAAACCGTCGTTTCAAGTAAATTGATAACAATTAGATTTAAGAAAATTTAAAGTAAAAAATAGGCAAATCATAAGATTGTGACGAAATAAGAAATGGCCGTTTCGCTAATCGTAAATCAATTAGCGCTCACAAATAAAGTGCAGACTGCAGAGAATAAAGTGGAATGAAGTGCAGTTATGTGCAGTTCCATGGCACACCATAATATGGTGTGTGTGTGTAAATGATATGTAAACAGTTAAATACGCTTCACAAAAGGATAAAAAATTGTAACATTCTCATTTTTTTTCATGAGTTGGAAAACGTGTTCAAATTAGGAGAGAATAATATTAATTTCTAATAATTGAATCTAATGTAATTCTACTAGTCAACAGATTATGATAGGTTAATCTGAACGAAGTTAGGTTAGGTTATTGTCTTCAAATCAAGATTGAAAAATAATTCATTCTAATTATCAAGCTATAACTATGGCTGTATCTGCTTTTATTCGTTCACACTTTCGACATTTAATTGGTGTAAGCAACAATGCTGTTGCCTTATTTCCAAATTCCGCATGGTATTCGGTATGTTTGCAATTCCTTTGTAATGAAGCCATCGTGCTATTGCAATTTTTCTCATTTCGATTATATATAAATTATTCAATTGCTATGTTAAATATTTTACGGTTGCAGAATCGTATTAAATCACAATCTTATGCAACATCTATCAGTGAAATCAAAGATACAATTAAAACTAAAACAAAGAAATCTGAGAAAAAAATAAGCAAAGTTATGATGACATATTTACAACGTGCAAAAGAACATGGTAGTTACTGATTTTTTGTGTATATATATATATTTTTTTTTAAATAATTTTATAAAATATTGTTAATGTTTGATATTAACTTTAAGACCAATAGTATATAAACAATATTTTTCTATACATAAGTTATTATGTATAAATTAAGTTATATTGTTTTTTTAGATGAAATCATGAAGAAAGAGATCTTAGAATATGAGATAGGGATAAGACATCTGGCTAATATAATGGGTGAAGATCCGGAATCTTTTACTCAAGCAGATATCAATGTATGCAATTATATAAAAAAATCATGCTAATTTGAAATAGCGTGAGTTAATATCTAAAGTCTCATGTGAGTGTTTACTTTTAGAGATCAATCCAATATCTATTTCCATCAGGACTATTTGATTCTAAAGCTCGACCAATAATGGAACATCCAGAAAAGATTTTTCCAAACAAGAAAGCAGCAGAATTTGATGAAACTGGGAAACCCTTCCATTCTATGTTTTATACCTCAAAGCCAAATTATTATGAGACACTATATGTAAGTTTTTATAATAATACTATTATAGATATATGAAAGAAAGTAACTAATATCTAAAAATTATTTTTATTTATAGAATATTGTCGATAAGATCAAGTCTCTGAATGATATTGAAGATTCATTGATAAAGCAAGGAATATTGCCTATGGACAAAATGTATGTTGAATATTTAATTTATATAAATAATATAATTTATATAAATTTATATAAATGTGTATATGTATATAGCTTGACATTAATTTAAAAAATATCCTGCAACATCAAATATAAATATTTTTTTTAATACATATTTTTAGCGATCTAGTAAGTTCCTCGTGGTTGTCAAAGAATAATATTGAAAAACTATTTCTTGAAAGTATTAATGATTTTGAGGTAAATAATATTAATTAGCTACAGAAAACTTAAACAAAATTGTAACACATGATTTAACACATAATTTAACTCATAAATGTATAATAATCTTTTCAGTACAATTATCTTATTACGTCATTAGAACGACTATGTGATCATCCACTATCAAGACGTGCATCAGATTTCATTTTAAAATATTGTAGGACACGTCATACCCATTTTAAAGAGATAGTAATATTACCTGTAAGTATCTATATAATGAAAATAAAATTTCAATTAATGTAAAGGTTTATTATTACATGTTAAGTTGGAACATGACAGCACAGGAAGACCATATGTCACAGTCAAAAGTAAGTAAACACAATTTTAACATTCACAGAAGATTAGCAAGTATATATATCATAAAACTTATTACTGTTAATGATTTCAGATTGTATGAGGAAGTCTGCAAGAGGTGAAGTAACAATTTGGGGTAATGGCTCTGGTAAGATTGTCATTAATGGACATGACATCTCATACTTCGAAGATTTTCAGCATCGCCAACAGGTGAGTTATTCCTTGCTTAAATCCTCGTAAGAAAAGTCGGTACTAAATTTTCATTAAATAATTACAAAGTTTTTATGTAAATCTTCGGAAATTGTAATACATAACATAATTCGGTTAGAAATCATTTTTACTATTTATGTTAATATATATAGAAAAAAAGATAAAATAAGATATATAGTTTGTATGCACTCTAGTTCATTCTTTTTTTAAAATGATATTTTAACTTTTCTAACAGCAATTTTTTTCTTATTTTTGATTCAAGCGAATTACTATGCAATATTTTTTAGTTTTTAAGTTGTTTATGGTAATAGAATTTCAATGTTTTCTTTGCTGCATATTCAGATATCTGAACGATTATAGGTAATAATATGCTTATTCAAGAAACTTAAAGCTCGATGTCCACGATGCTAGAAATCGCCCCAAGATCTCGGACAGAGAAAAAATTAACAAATCACATTTGAACAATTTGTTCACATGACTATTGCAATTAATCAATTCTTTCTTCATCTGAGATCTTGGACCAATTTCTAGCATCGTAAATACAAGGGTTAAGAATAGAATACTTATATGATACCATTAAGTATTATCAAAGTGAGAGTTTGCAAAGAACTCTTAAAAATATTTTAAAATTGTTTTACGTGTCAATTTTTGACATTCTGCTTATTGGATAACTAAAAAAATTACAAAAATTGCAAAATGATGAAGGACTTTTTGACTCGGTTTGCTCTGCCCACAAGCGGTATGTCAAATAATTTGCGATATCCTATATAATGTTTTGTTTTTCATAAAATTTTCGAAAACATGTTCCAATACATACATAATATTATTACATCACATTTTTACACAAATGATTCTAATTTTTTTATCAATGCTTTTGCACATATGACATTGTCTACTAACTACGCATATGACATTGTCTAATAACTCTATGTGGCCACGCGATAGCATCTCTAGCGTTATTTGTGTTATTCTATCCTTGTTTCACGTCTAATAAATAAATGAAAATAGAATGACATAAATAATGCTAATAATAAATGTTTTCCTGAACACACCTTCTGTGTGCAAGGAAGGAGCGAGGGAGGAAGGAAGGGGAAGAGAAATATTCCATAGATAGATACATTGTCACATCATGACAACATTTTTAGAAAAATGGCATTAGACCAAAAACAATAAATTCTCAAAATCGTTATTTTTCTCAAAATTGTGACATGATAGCCAAATTTTGACAATGGATTTTTGCTCCGCAATAAAAATACGGAAATTATTTATATTTGTAAATAACTTTTTTAATAATATGTTTTTAATAATACGTAAATAATTTTTTAAATCTTATGATATTGTATTTATTATAACATTTTCCAATTGAAGTTTAGACAATTTCTTTTAAAACTAGCCGTGATTATTTTAAACTGAATAGCTTAATAATTATTATATAAGAATATCTTTGATACGATTTTTTAAAGATTCTGGGGATATGACCCACTAGACCTGAAAGGATTAAAAAAAATATATTCGTCTCGAAACAAAAGAATCATATATTTGGAGGATGAATACAGCACTGAAGAAGAAATATATTTTTAATATCTTTTTATGATATGTATTGTGAAGAATGTGAAGCATGAACAACATGCGATGTCCTTCATGGAAGACGACCTTTCCGTGCGCATTTCTGGTAGCCGGTTTCATCCGATATTTGTACTATCTAAATCTCATTCGTTGGTATAATCGATACGGTGGAATTAGTCGGATGCTGCACTCTCTCGCTCTCAGTGTTAACCGGTCTGGCGAAAGAACGAGGTGATGCAATTGGGACGATTATCAACGTCCTTTACTGCGCTTCATTTTATGTCGTAAATGCATAAGGTACTTCTTCATTTTAAAACCTCCGCTATAGTGCCAATCACATAATTAATATGTAATAAGTGTTATTAAACTAAGTTCGAGATTTTTTGCAAAAGCATTAACAGTTTATTGACTACTAACAGACAGCGGCTCACTATTAATTTGATTAATATAAATCTGACACAAAGGACATCTCTCTCATGACGTTATGTTTACTTATGTATAATTGAAACTTCTATTTATTTTCACGTTTAATATCTATTTATGCCTTGTTCATTTTACTTTTATTTAGTTTCATTTTTATTTATGATACAAATTTTTTAAATTTATCTTTAATAGATTTGTATTTCTATATTTTCATATAAATAGTTTCTATTTTTTTGGTCTAAATATAATAGCGGAAATATTTAAATTTCTTATAATTGTTTTTAAAAGTATTTAGTCAAATAGATAAAATCTATTTTAATAATAAATTTGTATAAAGGCTAAATGAGCCAAGCACATTATCGATGCAAAAGAATATATTGTTACAAAAAATCTTCCAAATGCTTTAGTTCTCAATGGAACCATCTTCAGTCAATTATTTACATATGTTCTTTCATCTATGATTTATGCGTCGTTAGATTAACATAAAAACTTGTCGCCAATTATCTCATGCCAGATCGTATTCTATTTTTGTTAAATGCGTAAACGAACAAAATGTTATTGCAGAGATTTATTTTCGTAGATCCACAGGTTTTTTTTTGTAATGTGTTTATCAATATTGTCATCAATATACGATCTGTACGATATCTTTTTGTTTCTCATAAAGTGGAACATAATTACCGCCAATTCAATCAGATAACAGACTACCCTCCATGATTATTTAAGCAATTTTCCAATTGCAAGAGTCATGCGATATGCTTTGTGTCGGATTTCAATGTTACAATGTTAAAGTGTTTATAAAGTGTATCGTCAAACTTTGAGTCGTAATTTTTACATTGAAATAGAAAAAAAAGAAAATGAAATGTACATTTCAAAATTCATATTTCTTCCTGTGTTATTAATCCTTTAAAAAATTAAGAAATCATTAACAATTATTTAATCTTCTATATAAAATATACGAGTTTTAGAATATTGAAGAATAATATTCTTTGGATCTCTAATTTGGCTCATATAGTGTTTTTTTATTTAATATTCGGAATATAGAATCACGTAGAAAAAAAATTATGTTCTGAGGGAATCATTCAAAGTTATGGTGAATCGTTATTTTTCTGTGAAAATCGAAAAATCTGCAAATCCTCATATAAGCCATAAATTGAACTACCAATTTTGATCTTTTTCCATTCTTTTTATCGTGATCTTAAGAGAAAAATTTTTTATTGACTATAAAGTTTTCTATAAAGTATCTATATAAATTTTGTAAATAATGAAATAATGAATAAGTAAAAAGATGTTTTATTAAAGTCATCATTTTCATCTTCATTTTTATTTTGATTTTTATCTTGATTTTTATCAAAATTCGATCAAACATTAAAACAACTTCTAAGTTTGTTTACCTCGTATTCTCCAATAGGTTTCTACTATAGCTCTTACTCCATCGCGCTTGTTGGAGTGAGTAAGAATTATATTTATATTCAATAAAACTGTATATTCAATAAAAAATAACATTTTTCTTTGAAGATCACGATAAGGACATAAAAAAAATTGATGTTCTCAATTTATTTATATTTTATTTATATGAGAATTTATAGATTTTTCGATTTTTATTGACAAATAACGATTCATCATAACTTTGAATTCCTCGGCGCATTCTTTTTCTACGTGATTCTACATTCCAAATACTAAATAAAGAACACTATATGAATTAAATTGAAGGCGGCCCTAAAGAATAATGTTACTCTTGAGATTAATTTAATCATCTGTTTTGTTTTATTTTAGATTCATAACTTTAAAAGACCATACAAAATATTGTATGCTTTCACTTATTTCGACAGAAAGACTATTTGACAAATATTTATATAGTTCTGGCATTATATTTTAAACGTCGTATTTTTCTTTTCTTAATAAATTTGGGTAATTATTAAAAAAATATTTGTTACATGTTTTTTACATGTTTCGATTATTAAATATTAAGACTTTTGAAGTGTTAAATAGATAATATCACATTTATAGGTAATTGAACTTAATACGACAACACAGGAGATAGTTGATAGTCTCAGTAAATTCGTATCGTATTCTCGTCGAAAAAAAAATGGAGGAAACTGAAGAAAGAGTACCAAAAACTGTTCCAAATATGTTGATACGTACGGGTATGGCTTCCTTGTTTCTAACTCGGCTAAAGACTAAACGCTCATCATCTAAGCAAGATGACAATGAGCTCGAAAGTGGTCAAGTTCAATATGAATCGTCATTACCCAATGTCTCGATAAGTCCTTCCATGGAAGATTACTTCATCATTAGTGAACATACCACTTCCGATGAAATCGACCGTACTTCGCTACGCATCAATGAAGATCTTATTAAAAATATTCTCGCGGAACACAAAAGGCATATGGGTTATAAATCACAAATCTTGGAGAATCTAGAATCAGGCAAAATGGATGAAATAAACATAAACACGATTTTTGACATCAAATCTAATGAAGTCAACATCTTATTGCTACAAGCGAGTTTTTTAGGTCGTACGAATCTCATTCATCATTTGTGTAAATGTGGAGCCAATATTAATTACACCGAACCTAATCATGGTCTTACCCCTTTGCATTTATGTGCCTTTCGGAACTGTCTGGATGGAGTCAAATATTTGATAGAACAGGGCGCGAGCTTTGATACCAAATCGAAGCACACGGCGTTTCATTACGCCGCTTTTGGAGATGCCTTCGACGTAGCTCAGTATTTCATGCAACGAGGTATTAGTCAGCTATCTCCGTATGAAGCTGAAGAAACTGTATTGCATGTGGCTTCACGGACCGACGCCTTACGCGTACTTTCTTTAATGGCACCGAATAATAAGGAACTGAATCGTTTAGATCAGGACGGATATGCTGCTATTCATCATGCAGCCAACGGCGACAAAGTTTGTTTGGATATACTTCTGAAAGCTGGTTGTCAAGTAGATTTACTTACCAGAAAGAGCGACACTGCTTTGCACTTGGCTGCGGAAGTTGGTTGTGCGAATAACTTGGTTCTTTTGGTCAAAGCGAATGCTAATCTTCAACTGAAGAACCATCGAGGATACACGGCCTTGCATTTAGCCGCTCGTTCGCATTCTCTGGAATGCGTGGAGATTTTACTGAAAGGTCGCGCGGATCCTAACGTGGAAGATAACGAAGGTCGGACACCTCTGCATCTGGCTCTAGGTAAGTCTCTGATGACCGACGACATCACTGAGCTCCTGCTGAAATGGCGGGCGGATGTAAATAAGGCAGACAAGTATGGTTATTCGCCTCTACACATCGCTGCATCGAACGAGTTATCACGATGCGTGAATCTATTGATAAAACATGAAGCAGACCTCAGTGCCAGGACCATCGGTGGTAACAGTGCCCTATCCATCGTTCTGCGTAAGACTCCGACATCCCTGGACGTGTTCGAACGTAGACTGGACAAGTCTCTAACTTTGAGCCGACAGGGATTTATCGCAGGCAAGCTCGAGTTACAACTGGATTTCCGTCCGTTGCTTCAGCATCGACGTTCGTCCGAGACCGGTTATCTGAATACCTTTGTGAAGGAGGGCTACAAGGAAATTCTGGAACATCCTTTGTGCCAATCTTTCCTTCATCTCAAGTGGCATAAAATCCGAAAATATTACATCGCCCGATTGCTTTTCTATCTGATATATGTGTTGATCCTTACAAGCTGGGTGATAGCCGCCCTCGCTCATAACTGTTACAATGAATCAAAGGGTTATTACATGCACAATAAGCCATTGTGCTCGAGCGCAACTGGGATTTATGGATTTTTTTATAAACACCCTATACTACTCGAGATTCACTGGTACGCGCTGATGATGCTCACCATACTTGAGGCTTGTCGCAAGTTCGCCGTTATTTTCAGTTATCGATCTGTTAGACAATTCTTCACGCAGGTAGAAAACCTAGTCGACTGGTGCGTAATATTGAGCGTGTTTGCCACCTCTTTCGTGTATACGGGAAAAACATATGTCTGGCAAAGGCATTTAGGTGCCTTCGCCGTACTTTGTGGTTGGAGCAATCTGATGCTGATAATCGGACAGCTTCCTGTGTTCGGTGCTTACGTTGCCATGTTTACTAGTGTGCAGGCACAAGTGTTTAAGCTACTTCTGGCCTACGCCTGTCTGCTAGTGGGCTTCACGGCGAGCTTCTGTGTGATTTTTCCATATTCCAATTCCTTCAGCAGTCCACACATAGGTCTTATTAAGGTCCTCGCGATGATGACCGGCGATTTAGGCTTTGATTCTTACTTAATCTCATCTGATAAGAGTGGCATGTACGAGAATAATGAAGGAGCTTCCTGGATTTTGCTACAAATTTCGGCCCAACTCTTTTTCGTGTTGTTCCTTCTATTTGTCACGATCGTGCTGATGAATTTATTGATTGGTATAGCTGTACACGATATCAAGGGTCTTCAAAAAACGGCCGGTCTTGCAAAACTCGTTCGCCAAACAAAATTGATCCATGATGTTGAGACTGCAATTTTCTTGGGATTTATGCCGTCGAAACGCTTCATCAAATGCATGCGATGGACCACACTACTCTTGCCACCACCTTTACGAGCCGTTTTGACTGTTCGTCCACTAAGTCCCAGAGAGAAGAGATTACCACGTGATGTTCTTTCGGCTGCTTACAAAATAGCCAAGGAAAGAGATGGACAGAACAATTATGCGTCACGCAGAAAAATTTATAGCGCAAAAGCAGATTTCAAAAGCGACATGACCATGTATCGTCGTGGTTTCGAGGATACGCTACAACACGATTGTGATAAATTTAAAGACGAAATTGCAGAACTCAAGAAGATTTGTGAAAAAAATCATATTCTCCTTCAAGAACTCATAA